AAAAAAAAAAAAAAAAAGAAAAAGGAAAAAAGCAGAAGAAATTTATGTGGCGGAGATTAACGTCGCACCAGATGTGACCATTGTCGACGTTTCTCTATTCTCAACAGTGTATTCGATTCAATCTCGCTTTCGTGTTAACTGCGCTACGACCTGGATGCAAATTTCTTGTGTTGTCACAATAAAATCCAACAAGGGATTTGAAAGTATCCTAGCCGATAGATTTAATACAGTTCAATGTCGAATTATCGTTTGATTTATCCAATAAGTATTCCTCTCCTTCTTTCTCTTAGAGATTTACTTATTCTTGTAGAACTTAATTCTCTTGAACTAAGAAAGAAATTCTTACAACAAATATTTGATCAACTTTAATGAAGAATTTTAATAAATTGAAAATGTATTTCTTTTTAAAAGTTTCGAGATAACACGTTTTTTTTCTTCGTCAAATTATAAAATTATGATTCTACATTCTAAATATAAATAATTAATCTAGTGGTATATTGATGTAAGAAAATTTCTTACAAGATACATATATATATACATATCGATTTCTAAAATATAATGGATTAATACATTAATTTTCAGCTCAAATCTAATGAAACTCTGTTTGAATTGTATAATTATTTAATTTCCATCTACATTAACTAAAGAATACTTCACACGCGGATATTTCATGATAGCAAACGATATTGTTTAACATCGAGAAAGGTTTCAGAAACAATTTCTAACCAAATTCAAACTTAGTCGAAGTTACTATAGTTATTAATTTAGAATAATATCTTAGAATAATATCAGTGTACTTACTTTAACCGAATAATATCTTAAATTTTACTCAAAATCTAATCAAACGATATCTAATCTCAATCTATTTCAATTCAATTTGGAATATTTCGTAATCTTATATGTGAAATACTAATTTAAACTAATCTAAACTATTTAACATTGATCTATAATTTTATTGTTTATTGTGATGTGATTGTTTCAATCATACACATCACATTCTATATATCAAATTTTATAAATAATTAAATTCAATCTATATTCTCTAATATAGTCAGTAGTGTACTGTTTTATTTATTCAAGTAAGTAAATAAACAAATGTATCTACAAATAAACAATTTGTAATTTGTTTATGCATGCGATAAACTGTTATTTCAAAGTAGAAAAAAAAATACAATATAATGAAAATGAAAAATATTTTTCTCTAATGTAAATAAACAATTTCTAAGTAATTTCTAACTGCATTTGAAATGATAATTATGATTTATTCGAAGAAAATTTCGCTAAATCCACTTTCAATCCTATTCGAAACTTGATTAAATATATAGTTGTTTATCACCAGTCAGCTTTAACTTTAACAGGAGAATATTTCACAGGCGGACACATTGATTTCACAGCCAGGTTTCACACACACGTGACACTTTACTTGAACTTGCCTCTCAGCATTTGTGACATACAACTTCCGTTTCGACAATGACAATAATACAGAGAGATAGAATGAAAATCTGGAAATCTCGGGCACTCGACCTATTTCTGTACATTTTGATTGCACTCGATAATACCACGACACATCAACGCTAACTGCATAAACAAAGCCATTTCCACTGCAACTTTTTTTTCGCATTCTTTTCTACATATTACGTATTAACAGAGACGTTTAAGAAATTAATTTTATAAATTTAATTAAAATTTAATTTTATCAATATTTATACGTTTATAGATTCTGTATTTTGAGATTAGAAAAGAAAATTTTAATAAACTAAAGAAGTTATCAGATATTACAAAAAATAAATGGATAATATATGTATATGTACATAAAGGATCTTTAATGTTATATTAAAAAAAATTGTAACAATAATCATGCAGATGTTATTAAAACTTTGGTATATTAATATTTTTATATGCTTTTTGCATACTATTATATATAAAAAAATATATGTATAATATAAATATTGTTACATAAAGTTTTCATCTTTTTTTTTGTGAATGTTTTCTGAATTCAAATTGAAATATAATTTTATGATATAAAATATTATATAATATTGTATATATTATATTATAATATATAATATTATGATACAAAATAATATTGTATTGATGAATATTTATTATCTTTATGATAAAAAGAAAAAACTGCTAAAAAACAAATATTTTTCATCAGAGTTATGTTTTTTGCTTTCGTTAATTATTTATTTTGCATCAAATACTTTAGTATTCTGATAAAGCTTTTTAGAACTTCCGAAACTGACAATAAATCTTTCTCGATAACGATGCTTTCAACATTTCCGTGGTTGAAAGTTTTGTTTTAACCCAAAGCTTAGTTTTATGTTGAGGTTGATGGGATTAAAAGACGGTAATATTTAATATATAATTAATAATAATTATATAGAAAATATTTCAAAAATAAGTTGAAATGTTCTTTGTAAATAGCTGATCAAATTAATTAGTCAAATTAGTAGTCAAGTAGTCTTAAGCATTGTTTTCCTAATAACACTGAGAAGATGAGATACAAATGAGAAATAATTTGATATAATGTTTGTTTAGAATCTGTGGAGAAGAAATGTGGATATAATGGGCGTTGGGAGGGTCAGAACGGAACAAACAACGATTCTCCTCATGGATGGGCAAACTACACGACTTGTATGACACCGGAAATGCTTCGATTACATGGAAAAGTTTACACTAATGCCATTGAGGGTAATGTGAGTATATGTAAAAGTTGAGATTATGGAAGTGAAATTAATAAATGAGAATGAAGAAATATTGTTGAATTAATTTTCACAATGTAATTGATATCATTTTTGATAAAAATAGATATGCATTTATTGAATAAAATAAATTAAAAAAAAATACAAAAGGAATAAAAAAAATGTAATTTATAGAAAATAAAATTAATAATTTTTTTATTTTCAATGCAATTTTTATTTGAATATAACAATAAGAATATAATTTTTGTATTAATCATAAATTATATAATGCTTATATTTAATGAATTTTTAGTGAGATGAAATTGAAATGGATATTGGAAATATTAATAAAAAAAAAATCGGTAGAAATTAAATATTGAAATAAATCGAAAGCGAATGAAAAAAAATTTGTGAAAAATAATTCCAGTTTGATAGATTATTTTCAAGATATTTTTCATTTCACGAAATATGAAGATAATTTGTATTTCCTTAATATAAAAATATTGACAAATTTCTTCTTTTGTCTTTCAGATGAAGCTGGACATTGCTGAGAAAACTCGTACCTTAGAGTTCGTGGGTTTAAGCATTTCTTTAGTAGCACTATTTGCTTCACTTGCCATATTCTGTCGTTTTAGGTAAATTATTTATTCATTTTATATTTTTATACTTAAAAAATAATTTTGGAAATTTATATATTCACTATATAAATCTATAATAAAATGAAAATATTTAATATTTAATTCAATAAATAATTTATAATAAATGAAATACATTTCATTGTAAATAAAATAAATTTATATTTTATCCTATTTATTTTCTGTAATAATTAAAAAAATGTATTAAAGATCACGTAAAGATAAAAACTATTTAAAATATTTAAAATATATATTTTATTTCAAATATAACTAATAGTATCTATTTAATTTCTAATTTAATTTAATTTCTATTTAATTTCTAATTTAATTGTAAATAGATTTATTATAAAATAATATACTTTTTTTAATATACAACAATCATTTATTTTTTATAAAAACATATCAAATATATTTGCGCCACAAAAAAGTTTATTTTTATATAATGTAATGACAATTCTAATTGCGTCATATTGTTTCCAAAATATAGAAAATTTATTTATTTTATAAATGAGATGTAAAGATTCAATATTTTCTTCATTAAACGAGCGTGCTATTATAATGTAAATAAATTATGTGAGATGAAGTTCTATTGATATTTACGTGAAACAGGTCCCTGAGAAACACCAGAACTAGAATACATAAGAACTTATTCGTCGCCATGGTCGTTCAGGTTTTGATTAGATTAACGATCTACATAGATATTGAAATCTTGAGGAAGAAAACTTATGGCATTCAACGAGGCATAGGAAACACCGTGAGTGTCTTTCTTAATTTCTAAAATCTAAATTTTCTTCTTACTTCTTTGAAAATTGGAATTGTTAATTTTATTATTTATTTTATTTATTTATTTATTATTTTGTTAAATTTTATTATGTCGGTAATTATTATCAATTATACAATGTATATCGAAAATCGTGATACAGATCAAGAAGAAATAATTGTATAAAAATTGTATAATTGTATAAAATTATTTAAAGAGATTAATATTTAGTTATTGAATAATTAATTAATAATTATTTATAAATAAAATTTGAATTCAACCGCTTTTATTTTCGAAGAATTGCAAAGTCATTTCTTTGAATAATAAAATAAATATTGATTTTGAGATATAAATTTGAGATTAAATAATTTTCGATATGATGATTTGTCTTTTAAAGAAATTTATTTACTTTATAAATTTTTTTTCTCTTACAGCCTGTACTTTGTGAAGCCAGTTACGCACTTTTGGAATATGCCAAAACTGCAATGTTCATGTGGATGTTTATAGAGGGGCTGTTCCTTCACAACATGGTCACTGGTAGATTAATAAACAAAATATTCTTCAAATTTTCTTTGGAATTACCAATAAGAACATTCAAGATATTGAAGAGTAAACCTTTCCTATTTTCATAATTTTAAGATATTTCAATGTTACTAATTAAAGGTTTGGTTTCTCTTGAGCTTATATTAGAAAAAATTTCTTTTACTTGAAATAAAATGTTCTACTAATGCTATTGTCTTTGTGTTAAAATTGATTCAATGAAAATAATATTATAACATTTACAATTTTTATTTATGATATAACATTAATTCAATATATTTTATATAATTAATAATTATATTTATAATTTATATAATTAATGATTATTATAAAATTAAAAATTCAAAAAATTAAAATAAAAAATTTTCGAAAAAACTATCATATAAATACTTATTTCTAAGTTTTAATTAATTAACTAAATCAGAACATTGTCAGTAAAAACTAAATTCTTTTTCAATTATTATTTCAGTAACAGTGTTTCAAGAAAACTCTTACTATAGGATGTACAGATTCATTGGATGGGGTTGTCCTGTCATGATGACGCTAATTTGGGCGACTATTACCGCGTTTTATTATCATCCAAAATCAAAGTAAGTAAAAATTAGAAAACTATGATTATAGATACGGAAATTGTTGAATGGATTTAAATTTTAAGTAATGAAGCTAAAATTCATTCCTAAAATAAAGTTTATTTGAAATTTTTATTCAGTCATTCATTCTGGTAGATTTGACAATTGCAAAAAATATTTGATTTAAATAGTGAAATGAAAATATTTAACAATTTTAATTTATTGTTTAAATATTTTCTTTTATATAATTTTTATATCATATTATTTTATTGTCATATTATTTAATATTTTGATTTTAATTGTTATCAATTGATTGATTAATAATTTATGTATATTTTATTAGATTTTCCAGATGTTGGTCTGGATATAATTTGTCTTCCTATTTTTGGATCCTAGAGGGACCCAGATTTGCAGTAATATTGGTAAGTGATATTAATTTAAAAAATTCTTTAAAAATAAAAATCATTATACTAATTTTAATTCTTCAGCTCAATTTTCTGTTCTTGTTGAACATTGTCAGAGTGCTCGTAGTAAAACTTCGACAAAGTCATACTAGTGAAATCGAGCAAGTCCTGTAAGTAATTTATATCACTATTTGAATTTGTTCAAACATTTACTATTAATAGTATTTGCAAATTGAAAGTTTTTAGCCAAAAAATATACATATAAAATTAATAAATACTGAAAAAAATAAATGGATTTTAGCTTTTTCAAATAATAGACAAAAAACTATAATAAAAGAAAATAATTCTGCATTTAATAAAATTATATAGTATATCTTTTTTATATCTTTTAACAAAAATTAAAAAAAATTATTTTTTATTATTTTTATTTTTCTAGAAAAGCTGTAAGAGCAGCCGTAGTGCTTTTACCACTATTGGGTATTACTAACGTGCTCTTTATGATCGAGGCACCTTTGCATAACGTAAGAAAGTTCGCGTTATGGTCATATTCCACGCATTTTCTTCAATCTTTTCAAGGACTTTTCATTGCAACTCTTTACTGTTTTCTAAATGGCGAGGTAAGAAAATTTATTTTATACATTATAAAATTTCTATTCTTTTCATCTTAAATATTTTATATGAATATTTTATATGAAATATTTTATATGAATATGCAATTATATTTTATACTAAAAATATATGGAATTTTTTTTTAATAATCAATTCTCTACAGTAATTAAATAACTCTGCAATAATTAGTTCATATATTATGCATGAGAAGTAAACATATTTGTGAAAATACCAAAACTAGATATAAATTCTAAAAAATTATTATCAATGATTTATTACTATCGATTACTAGAAATATCGAAATATTCGATTAAAATTTATTTAGAAATTATTTATTAATTATTAATTAGTAATTATTTTTTAATAAGTANATATTAATAATTAATATAATATATATAAATATATATAATATTAATAATTATAGATATTATATATATTTAAATTTCAAATGTTAAATAATTAAATATATATACTAATATTAAAACAAAAATATCGAAATATT